AAAAGTATCTTGATCTACAACTGGCTTAGTTCTATTTCATTTTATTTTTGTTCCTATTTTGATATGTATTGGTAATTAACCTGCATGTATGTCTATGTGAGGGTGTTAGATCTCCTAAAACTTGAGTTACAGACATCTGTGAGCTGCCATATGGTTGCTAGGAATTGAACCTGGATCCTCTGGAAGATCAGCACTGAGCCATCTCTCCAGCCCTCTTGATCTATTTCTATAAAAACATCATGAGGTCGCAGAGTATGGAACTTGGGGAAAAGTAAGTCTTGTCCTAGGCCATGGTTACCCATCTTTGTTATGCTCTTTGATATGAGAGATGTATCACAAGGGCATTAGATATGATGCAATCAGACTAATAATGTACAATGAGCACTGGGTCAGGGCTCAGTGGTAGAGTGCTTGCCAAGCATGTGTGAGACCTTTGCTTTGCAATACCCAGTACCACAAAACCAACAAGACAGGCTGGTAAGCACACAATGGAGCCTGCAAATGGCACATAAACATATTACCATTTAAAAAAAAAAGTTCATGTACCTACATGCAAGCAAAAACACTCATACATATAAAATAAATACATCTTTTATAAAACAATGGGTGAGGGTGTAGCTCAGTGGTAGAGCATTTAACTCAGCAGGATGAAGGTCCTGAGTTCAAGTCATAACAAAGAAAGTAAAAAGAGATTCATTTAGCTAAGCAGTGGTAGTGCAGGCTTTTAATCCCAGAGCTGGGGAGACAGAGGCAGTTGGATCTCTGAGTTTGAGGCAAGCCTGACCTATAGATCCAACAAGGCCACACCTCCTAATAGTGCCACTATGAGTTTATGGGGGCCAAAAACATTCAAACTACCATACAGAGAAACCCATTTTATGTCTATGAGTATTTTACCTGCAAGTAAGTCTGTGCACTACATGCATACCCCTTGCCTGTGAAGACCAGAAGAGGGTGCCAGATCCCCTGGAATTAGATTCACACCTTTGGGTGGCCAAACAGATGCTGAGAATATACCACCAGTCCTCTGGAAGAGCAGTCAGTTACTGGCTGAGCTATCCCTCCAGCCTCATTATATATCTAATTATGCAACTAAAGAGGAAAATAAGCCAGGGTGCTTCTATGTTCCTGAATCCCCTATTTGAGAAGCAGAGACAGTTCAGGGCTATCTTTAGCTGCAGGGAATTCAAAGCCAGCTTGGGCTACATAGGCCCATCTCAAACAAATGAACAAAAGAAAAAAAAAAAAAAAAAAAAAACAAAACAAAACAAAACAAAACTGGGCTGGACCAGCTTTGGTGGTTCCTGTTTCTGCACAGGAGGACCTGACTTCAGTTCCCAGCACCCACATGACAGCTCACGAACAGTTCCAGGGGATCTGAAGTCCTCTTGTGGTTTCCATGAACACTGCGTGTTTGGTGCCTATATACATGCAGGCAAAACACTCCCACACACAAAACTTTTTAAATGGTGGTGCACACCTTTAATCTCAGCACCGGGAGGCAGAGGTATGTGGATCTGTTTGAAGCTAGCCTGGTGGACATAAGTGAAACCATGTCTCAAAAAAAGAACATTTTTAAAGAGAAGAAAAAGTGTGCCCTGTGCCTTTCTCTAACTTCTCTCTTGGCACTGGATATCTGGACTCTACACACAGTTATGGCTCTAAGCCCTTCCTGCTACTCCAGCCCTCGATTCCAGTTTCTGCATACCAAGCCCACCATCCTTTATGTGTATTGTTATCCATAGTTGTATTATTTCCTTTTCTGTTCAATAAACCCCATTACTTGGGTTCAACCCAATGACAATGCTGAATGGGAAGCTTCTCCCTGTGTGTAGCTTGCATCTCTGTGCCATAGTGTATCCTAAAATTGCTCTACCAGAGCACAATATTCTGCCTCTTTACTCAAGGAAGTAACTTGGCTGAGTCCCAGGGAATTTCCCAAAATATTAGCACCGCTTTGCTTTGGAATATGTAAACGAAGCACCTCACCTTTTTATGTGGCTACCCTGTTTTGTCTTTTACCTAATATCAGGAATTATCTCAAGGATCATAGAAATTGATGTAAGTGAACACACAAGCTTAAGAAACTTGTTACAGCCCCTTATTCATGAGCCTAGTAAGTGGGCAATGGTTCACTTGTTTAGACTTATGCTGTGATATGTGCAGATCTGCAGTAATGCTTGACTGACATCAAACAGCTGAGGCTTTTTGACAGACATATTGTCTCATGCAAACCTTGATTTGGGCTTGGCCACTCAGCAAGCCATAAACTGGCACTTTCTCTCCTGTGTATTTCAAGGCACTATATCATCTGAGCTATCCTTGATTTCTTAAGCACCAAGGAAATTGCCAAAATGCATTTCCCTCTTTATCACTTACCTTTCACCCCTATAGTACATGCACTTCTTCCAAATTCCACACTTTGGGGGGGGGGGGAGGTGGTGAGAAAGGGTTCCTGTATAGGCCTGGTTGTGCTGGAACTAACAGAGATCCCTCTGCTTCTACCTCCCAGTGTGCTAAAATTAAAGGTGTGTTATCATTGTACCCAACTCAAACTTCATTCTAAACAAAGCATGCAAGTAGGGTGAAGCATCTTCCGGTAGTTGGAAACTGGACGCTAGACAGGGCAGTTTGAGACCAGCCAAGTTCAACCCAGAAGCTAGGAAATGAAATTCAGTGTGCCAGTGACTTCAGCACACTGAATTTCAAGTATGAACACCAAGACACACATCTAGGGAGTCAGAAATCACAGCAAATTTTTTCCTGCATGATGCAATTTCACTTTATGGGCATTGGTGAGAGGTGTCAGATCCCCTGGAACTGGAGGTGGAGCTGTGAGCTGCCATGGAGGTGCTGGGAATTGAACCCAAGTCCTCTGGAAGAGCAGCCAGTGTTGTTTAAATGCTGAGCCATCTCTCCAGGCCCTTAAAGTGTCATTTTTAAGTAACAGGAAACTCACCAGGCATGGTATCAGTAATCCCAGCACTTGGAAGGCAGAGGAAGGACCAGATCTGCTATATGGTGAGCTCCAGGGAAGCCTGGGCCCCAAGACCACTCCTTCAAACACAAAACTAAAACCTATAAATTTTGATTTTTTGATTCTATTGTGCTATAACCATCTCTCGCATGAAAGTAAACCATACCTTCCCAAAAATGTTTATAAAGTTTTATACTTCATGCATTAGTTAAGTAATGTCCACACTTTCATCATCAGCTTAAAATTGAAGAGCCAAAACAGTTCCAGGGTATATTGCTTATACACTGGACAGAACTCATTAATTCTCAAACTTAAGAGTTTTTTTGTTCCATTTCTTGATCTTAAGATCTGAAGCTAGTTAAGCAAGGCAAACTGTTCCCATTCTTAACATCTTTAAAAGGGTAGTTGTCATGACACACCCACTAAAGTTACAAAGAAGTTTCCTGGAGGCAGAGTTCCCTTTTAAATGGATCACTTACTAACAACAGATGTCCACAATGGTAGTTCTAAAGCAACAGCACAAACTTCCATCTAAGTCAGTTACTTGTTCCTAAGTCTATAACCAAGGTCTCTACAGCCTGCTGAGGTCTGGCATGGACTGAGAACTTATGTGTGATCTTTAAAACCAACCCACTTTTCACTTAAGAGTTTTATTAATCTTTTTTACATTTTGAAAGATTATGGCCTCACTTCTCTCTATATATGTATGTATATACACATATGGGATGTTTGACCAATAACAAAAAAAAAAAAAGTCCTGTCCTTTCCAGTCCTTTGGCCTAGTTATACCATTTTAAACTTTATTACAATAATAAAGAGTATGGTCAGGTCTCTGGAAGTCGGTTCCCTCCTTCCACTGTAGTTGTCAGGTTTGACAGTTAAGTGCTTTTTACTCACTGTCATCTCACTAGCACCAGCCTAAGTGTTTTAAATGGGAAAATGATTTAAGTTTACTACCAGGCACTATTATAAACAATGTGACAAAAAGCTTAAAGTTCTTAAGTGAAAGTCATTTAACTAATATTTAAAACCTCTGCAAATTATTAGTTTATTAGTATCATCCAGGACTCATGTTCAGTATTCCTCCTCAAATTACATAAACAAACGCAAATGTAAAGAACCCAAGTCAAAATTATATAACAAACAGCACTCCATCACAAAAGCGTGTAAAATTACAAGAACGCTATTTTTTAAAACACTGGCACTTTAAGAGAATGGTAATCTCAAAAAACCACAGAATTGCCAAATTGTTCCCTAAACTGCTAAGCAGATTAAACATGACTAATGAATGAGTTTGGATTTTATAAAGAAAAACTAAATGTATCAGACAACTGGTACTAACATGAAAAAATTTATCATCTTTCCTTGTATCTGATTTATAAAGGGATAAGTCACAATATAGGAAAATATACCCTTACTTTAATTTTAAATGTGGCATAATTTTAAGAAAAGTTGGCTCAACTAATTAAAAATACTTTTTAAACAGTCAAGTTTCCTGAGCAATCCTGTATTTAGATAGATGGTCAAAGGCATTATAGCCAGTGTTCTCATCATAGCTTCCACTAGGACCAATGTCAGCAAAGTTTAATATGGCAGTCTTGTATTTTAAGCTCACGCTTTTGGGGATACATTCTCAGGTCTTTAATAGGGAACTGCAGAATGTAACTGCCATTACACAGTAATGGACGTTAAGAAATGAGTCCTCACGTAAGGATTAGAACACAATTTTCTACTAGTCCTTCAAGGACAGATTTTCAGATTGTTCAATTCTAGTAATTCCATGGTGTGATAGAATTGTTCACTCTCCACTTTGCACATGGGTTATGTACTATCTCTTATCCAACTGATCACGGATTTTGCAATTTCAACTATGGATGAAAATGTTACCCATCACAATATGCAGGGTGTGTAGATAACCCCCCCCAGCTAACTATATTGAAAAGCACTGCAATAATTCATGTGACCCAAAATAGGCTAAAGAAAACACTAGCTTCCCCTTGAGAAGAAAAATTTCAGACCTATGAAAAGGACAACAATACTAATAAAAAAAATTGTATTTACTTAGAAGCATTCAGAATGTCAACAAAACAGCTGCAATTTTTTTGCAATTACAGAGTGGTATTCAGTTAACAGAACAATTATCTTCGTACAAGCTGCATCAGAGACAACTGAAGATGGAAAAAAAAAAACCCAAAACAAAAAAAAAGAGAAAAAAAAAACAAAAAAAAAGAAAACCAAAAAAAAAACTACCGTCCCCATATATAACTAATTTGTGCTGTGCACCAAGAACCTGCTTTAAATTTCCATGCCAATTTACAACCCCCAGACTGTACCAGGCAAGGTTAGTGGCTATTGAAAATACCACCAGGACAGGGCTATCTAAAGACACATTCGGTAGTGTGTTAACTATACAAAAAAAGACACTGTACAGTTTAAAAACAAATCTTACACAGCCTTACATTTCAATTTTTTTTTCTTTAAAAGGAGTGAGTTGTGTACAGGGGGGTTAAATGCTTTATAGACAAAAAAAAACAAAAACAAAAACAAAAACAAAACTGCGCTAGAACCAACTTATTCATCATCATCATCTTCTTCTTCATCTTCGTCTTCCTCTTCTTCCTCCTCTTCCTCATCCTCTTCATCCTCCTCCTCATCTTCCTCTTCCTTCTTTTTCTTGCTCTTTTCTGCCTTGACCACCCCCTTTTTCACTGCATCGGGTTTCCCTTTAGCTCTGTACGCAGCAATATCCTTAACCAAACAAAGGGAGGAAAAACAAGACAAAAACAAAGTAAAATTGAAACAAAACTTCAGTCTTCATAATTTAGCCCACTGTACCTTCCCAATTAGAGCATGGGGAAAAGCACATAAAATGAACAAGATGAGATGGCAGTCTTAATATTTGTATTGTTATGCCTCACTGAGGTACAATTATGCACCACATCTTAATTCTGGTTTATGAGAACTAGAAGGCAGAGACTGATCAAAGGGTAACACTGCCACCTTCTGAACACAAAACAGCATTCTACAGGTTCATAGCCAGACCCTAATTCATAGTAGAAAATATGTGAGAGATATGGACAGAAGACAAGTATACAGTTGTACTAACATGAAGAAATAAGATTTCAGAACAAATGAACTTAAAATTTTAAAGTATTTAAGCATTTCAATATATAGGAATCACAACTTTCCTTCGTGCTATTTATAGTTTGATACCTTGCCAAGCTTGAAATTTAGCTCTTTTTAAACCAAAGTGAACGTTTCAGCCAGTACTTGTGTATAGACAGCTTTGCTCAATCTATTTTTGTATTGTATGCATAGCCATTTAAAAATAATTCTCACCAAAACTACCAAATAACCCCCCCAAAGTTGGAGATATTAAGAAATGAAATTAAAACTTATGGCCTCAGCTCAAGTCAGAGTATATGCAACTTTAACAATGTATCAGTCCTTACTATTTGAAAAATGGGATATGTAAGCAACATATAAGACAAGTTATCAAGTATAATCACCTAACATGTGGTATCCCCTTTCATCCTCTGGGAAGCCACCCCATCATGTTCCTTACCTTTTCATACTTCTCCTTCAGCTTGGCAGCCTTCTTTTCATAGGGCTGCTTGTCATCTGCAGCAGTGTTGTTCCACATCTCTCCCAGTTTCTTTGCAACATCACCAATGGATAAGCCTGGGTGTTCTCCTTTGATTTTTGGGCGATACTCAGAACAGAACAAGAAGAAGGCCGAACTAAAACCAGAATTTAATTTTAGGATTTTAACAAAACCAAACGCTATCAAAATTTTACTGTTTAACAATGTAATTACCTATTAATCTCACATGCTGATGTATGTTATTTTGAACAATCTCTAAAGATACAAAGGTCCAAAAATGGGAATGATATACTGTATAAAGGAAACAAGTACCTTTATTCAAACACCCTGGCTAATAGTTCTATCCAATATAAGTTTCTATTTGACACCTTAGATACCTGATACCTGTGTTGAGCCACTCTCAGCCAAGGAACCAAAAACTGGACAGTCAAGGTGGCTCAAATCAATCTGTATCTATCATGAACCACCTCAAAATAAAAGCTGTACTTACGGAGGCCTCTTGGGTGCATTGGGGTCCTTGAACTTTTTTTTGGTCTCCCCTTTGGGGGGGATGTAGGTTTTCATTTCTCTTTCATAACGAGCCTTGTCCGCCTTTGCCATGTCTTCAAATTTCCCCTTTTCTTTAGCAGACATGGTCTATAGAAAAGTTAATTGTAAACTTGACGTAGTAGTTAATAGCCACAAGATATAAGAACAGTCACCCAGGCCCCTCCATCCTAATTTAGAACTGGCTGGCTATCAGTATCTAAGTCCTTCTTACCTTCCACCTTTCTGAGCATTTCTTGGAGAACTCTGAGAAGTTGACAGAAGCATCCGGATGCTTCTTCTTGTGTTCCTCCCGGCAAGTTTGCACAAAGAATGCATATGAGGACATTTTGCCTCTCGGCTTTTTAGGATCTCCTTTGCCCATGTTCAGTTGATTTTCTAAAAGAAAACATTTGATGTTAGTGATGAGGTTATATGAAATCCACAAGCTTCCAACTGCTCAGGGTGGTAAGGCAAACCAAAGTTTTCGTTATCTAACCCAGTAGTGACGACAATCTCCCATAAAAAACAGATAGATCACGGCCAATGTTAACTGATTCCTAGAAGTGGCTAAGCCACAGAGAGGATAGGACAGGAGGGAAAAAAGAAGGTCCCCAAGTGTGGTTACAAAGTGTAGGCAAACACACTTAATTAAGCATTAGCTATCTGTCCTGAATGATTGCCCAAACGGCCATAGAAAGAACATCTTAAAATCCAAAAGTAAAAAAAAAAAATTAACCATCAAAATACACGTTAAAAAAAAGCCCACCCTGTGCATGTGACTTTTGCAGTGTACAAGGAATGATCCTGAGGATCTTAGACAATTACAGGCCTAGAAAAACGAAAGGGGGAGAAAAAAAAATCCAACAAAACAATAAGTGGGCCTCGTGCAGCTCAAGTTTACCCAGCTTTAAGAACACCGTGTGTTCGCTTCAAACTTTGCTCGGGAGGGCGGAGACGGCGCTGGGACAGGGCCGGGAGAGGCCGCCGTTTCCTATCGCTTTGGCCCCGAGATGCGTTTCTGCTCTGACTAAACACGTCCGGTCTGAAGTTTCTCCGAGTAAACAAGGATGAGGGACAAAAGCCACTCCTGCCGCCGCCACCCCCTCCCCCGCTGCTACGGGGGTGTCTGCTTTTTCTTCTTCTACAAACCGGGCCCGTGCAAAAGTTGGGGTGCCCTGGTGCGCGCGGGCGGGCAGGACTCCCCGCCCTCCGAACTTGGCCCGAGGCTGAGGGGGGCCGCGGCACCGGGCGGGCCCGAGGCCGCCACGTGCGCCCGGAAGGCCGCAGGCTCGCGCCACCGCCGCCCCCATTTTGTCGGCCGCGGCGCAGGGAGAAGCCCCGCTCGAAATGGGGGCTGGCTCCGCCCGCGGCCGCCAGGGCCGGCGCACGGAATGGCCGCTGCGCGTCTTCCCCGCCTGCGCCGCCGCCGCCGCGAGGGCGAGCGCGAATATGGCTCCTTCCCTTTGTGTGCGCGCGTGTGTGTGTGAGTGAGTGTGTGAGGAGGCTGAGGCGCGCGGCGGGCGGGCGGGGCGCTGGCGCACTCGCCATGGCGGCGGGGGAGGGGCGGGGGCGCGCGGCTCCCCTCCCCCCCGCGGCCCCCGCGCCGTCTCCCTCCGCGCGCCCCGCCGCCCCCGCACGGAGAACGCGGGGCCGAGGAGAGAGAGAGAGGGGAGAGAGAGGAGAGTGGGGGGAAAAAAAAAAGTTGCCTCAGAACTGCTGCGCCCAGCTTCCCCCGCCCGCACGGCCGCCTTGTTTTCTCTCCAGCCAGCAGCGCCGGGCCGAGTCAGCCATGTTCCAGCGAGCGCAGCGGCGCCGCTCCCCCCTGCCGCCCGCTCGCCCGCCGCCGCGCCCGGCCCGAGCCGCCCCGCACGGCCGCCCCCGGCCCACCCGCGCCGCCTTCGCCCGCAGCGGCGCCCCGCCCGCCGCCCCGCGCTCCCCGCCGCGGCCGCCCATGCAGCCGGGAAGCGCCGCCGCTGCCCGCTCCGCGCACGCCGCCCGCCCGAAACGCTCGACCCCGGGGGCCACTAACACGTTAAAAAAATTTTTTTTAAATTCTCTGAGACAAAAAAATTAAAAAAAAAAATTTTTTTTGCGCCAGTGAAGCACGGACGCCGCCGCGGCTGTGAAGTGGCGGCCGCCTGAGGCCCGCGGCTCGGCTCGGCGCGGGGCAGCGTTCGCGGCGCCCGGCGGAGCCTCGCTCCGTGCGCAGTTCCCCCCACGGTCCCCCCTCATTTGCCTTTGTGTGGAGCCTGACCCGCCGGCTCCGGGCCGCGGGGATCCGGCCGCCGCGCGGGCTACGAGGCTGCCCGAGGCGTTCTCCCCGCCGCTCGCCGTCCCGCACTCACCGTCCGCGAGGCACAGAGTCGCCCAGTGCCCGTCCGGCTCGCGCTTGCCCCGGCGCTGTCTCTATGGAGCTCAATGTACTGCAATGGCTGTGAGAGCGGGAGCCAGACGCAGCCTCCTCACTCTCTCCGCTCTGTAACATTACTCTCCAGCCAGCGCGCCTCCTATTGGCTACCGCCAACTCACGGGGCTCGCTCATTGGTCCGTTCCCTCCCATTGTCCTGACCAGAGCCCGCGCGCCATTGGCCGTCCGCGAGGACACGTCACCGAGGATTGAAACAGCGCGCAAATCTGAATGTGTGTGTGTGTGCCGGGCCGAGAGGCTGAGGCGGGAGAGGCAGAGGCAGCGGCAGCAGCTGCTACGGGAAAGCGGAGCTCTATGGTGTCTGTGTGCCTGCGTCTGCCCCGAGCCGGCCCCACGCCCGAGCCGCGGCGCGCGCGCCCGGGGCCTGGCTCGGCCGCAGCCACCGCCGCGTCCTCGGGCCCGGGCGGCTCCCGCAGGCCCGCCCCCCCTCCCGCTCCACGCTCCCGCCCCGAGCCGTTGAGACGCGCGGCCCGTGCTTGCGGAAGCCTCCCCGAGTGGGACGACGGCTCGGGGCCCTGCGGCCCGAACACGGCCGGGACTCTGCGGGCCTGGGGACGGCCGTGCCGCTGCAGCCCACCACGGGACACCCCGTCCCCCGGCCGCACGGAGAGTGCCCACCCTGCCCAGAGGCCTAGTCTGCACCAACAAGCAGGCGGCCAGTGGCACCCTGTTTCTGGGTTTGCTCGAGTTTCCCACTACTTCTCGAACTTTCTTTTTCTTTCTTTTTTTCTTTTTTGGTAAAACACAAAGCACTGTTTTGAACTTCCCGGACAGCAAAGCTTTATTCCAGGGAATTAATGCAGAACCACTGAGTTTTGATACTGGCTGCTCTCAGGACGATAGGGAGGGCACAGCTAGAATTAGCAAGTTCATTAAAGACCTCATCTCCCCACCCCCATCCACACAGTGGCTGTTTTCTGTAACTTGGTGTGGATTACTGTTCGAATCAAACGAATCTTTGTGATTGCTATCTTCTCTTCGATCACACCACTTAGTGCATACATGTACCTGCTCTAGGATTACTAGACGTTTGGGGCTACTGTTACCTCAAGGATTAGATGCAGTAGGAGACTGCTTGGGCCCAAACCCACAGGCTCTGCTTTCTCCCACTCACCAAGCTGGCTGGTAGTCATCTGCAGAGAAAATAGGGGGCTCCCAAAGGCCACAAGCTTACATTAATCCTTGGTGAATCTACTATCTCGTCCTTTCAAGGGGTCAGACCACACCTCTCTTCAGTTACCACAGACATCTCCCCTTTTTTTCACTCTCTGACATCTTATACACTTCTCTACCCAACGAAGAATTCCTCCAAAATGCAATCGATCCAAGTCAAAACAGACTGCATTGGGTTAAATTTCCATACCACTTCCAAGGCTCTATTATCTAATGGGTTTGCTCGAATTTATTATGCTTATTGAGAATAGGTTTAGATAACCTTTTTTTCTGACAATTGATTTAATGTCCATTGTCTTTTCAAAAAATAGACTCTTGGTCTCAGGGAATATCATTGGTGTGAATGAACTGTCAAATACTTCTAGTCCCAGAATTCAGGATGAAGAGGCAGGAGTGAGTTCCAGACCAGCCTGGTCTACACACAGTGAGTTCCAGGCCTGTCCACAGTTACATAGTTAAACCCTATCTCAAAAACAAAAACAAAACAAACAAACAAAAACCACTGTATTATTAAAGACTATATGAACAGGCATTGTGAACTATCAGTATTAAAATATATGTTAACTTTTAAATTGTTATTCTCACATATATTTAATACCCTTCCTGGTACAAACCAAATTCTGTACTTTGGATACATCTATATAATTTCAGTCCTGTTGTATCATCTAGTTCTTTGTAAATATTCAATGGAGGGGAGATGTCTCCCAGTTCAAAGCACTGGCTGCTCTCTCAGAACACCTGGGTTCAGTTCCCAGCACCCACATGGCAGCTCACATATGTATACACATGCACACATGATATGTATATATGTAAATATATAATTAAAATATTTTCATAGCATCCCCAATACTGAAGTGTGGCTTCCATTTAAACATGGCACTGTCAATAATGTTTCCCAGCATTGGTCCTGGTCCAGCTACCGAACTACTACTTAGCTAGACTAGGCTTACACTTGGGAAAGTAAATTAATGCAACAAGAAAGAAAAGAGCCCACATGAGGTTTCAGTCTGGGAAGGGTGAAAAGGAATGGGTACTGAGTTAAACAGCCACAGGTTCAAATCTACCATCCCTGTGCATCAGGTTTCTCATCCTTAAAACATATGGCCAAGGCTTACTGTGAGAATTTTCATTTTATTCTTTGCAAACAGGGTTTTGCTGTGTAGCCTGAATTGGCTTCTGATTGATTTGTTGTTCTTTCACAGTTTAGTAAGATTTTTTTTTTTCATTTTACTTAATAAAATGTGTATGTGTGGTTCTATGGCCTTGTACCTCCATCCTTAGGATGACACACCTACCCCTCCGCTTTGAGATCTGAGACAGGGTTTTTTTTTTTCTGTTGTCCTCTAACTCATGAGCCTCCTGAATCCTAGGATTCCAAGCATTTGCCACCATAGTTGGTGCCAAATCTGACTTGAACCTTCTTTTCTTTCCTTTTTATTTGACTGGGGGTGTTCTCTGTGTAATAGTCATGACTAACTTGTAACTTGTAGACCAGGCTGGCCTCCATCTCATAGAGATCCACCTGCCTCTACCTCCCAAGGGCTGGGTTTAAAGGTTTGCCACCACCACCACCAACAGGCCAGACCTGAACTCTTCAAAGTTTAAAATTACCTCATGCAGACTCTTTCCATCCCATAATTTAGAAAGTCTCAAGTATAACTAATCTTGAGTTTTTCTTCAAATTTTAATTTTATGTGAAAACAAATGGTTACAAATCTAGTTAAGCTTTTTATTTGTCTTGTTTCTCTTCACCTCACCTGGGGGCTGCACTGTTTTAAGATTCCCACTCTGGGGAGGACTTACAGAGTTCTACTATCAGGGAATTTGACTTCTGTATTTGAGATGAGATTTAGGTAAGTGACAGTTTCCCAAGGCCCTGATTTCGATCCCTACCACATGCTCAAAATACACGCGCGCGCGCGCGCACACACACACACACACAAGTTATTATACATACATACATACATACATACTGGTTTTTCAAGGCAGGGCTTCTCTGTGTAACAGTCCTGACTGTCCTGGAACTCACTCTATAGACCAGGCTGGCCTCGAACTCACAAGGATCTGCTTGCCTCTTGCCTCCCAAATGCTGGGATTAAAGGCTTACATCACTACAGCCCAGCAGTTTGTACTTTTTTAAAGTATCTATTTTTGAGCCAGGTGGTGGTGCCAACACCTTTAGTCCTGACACTCCGGAAGCAGAGGCAGGTGGATCTTTGTGAGTTCAAGACCAGCCTAGTCTACAAAGCTAGTTTCAGGACAGCCAGAGATGTAACACAGAGAAACCCTGTCTTGAAAATAACAAAACAAAACAAAACCAAAAACAAGCAAAAACCCAAAACAGCACAGTCTACACTAGAATTTTTAGCCCCACCTCGAAAGCTTGATGCCCACCCTTTCTTTCCATGTGACACATGAGCCACAAATGAATAGATCGTTTCACTTAGCTCTTTGACAGTTTACAACTACAAATTACAATATTATCTAACTGGAAAAGTCTGAATACCTCCCTTAGCCAAAAGAGTTGTGGACCTTCCTATTGTTTATTTGAGGCCAGTTCTCAAATGTGAGGTTCAAACTGACCTAAAGCTGTCCATCCTCCTGCCTCCATCTGGATAGGATTACAGGTATCCTTCAGGAATCTGCATTTTGTTCACTTTGACATTCCTAGGACAGATGAACTGCCTTTCCTCCTTTACAACCCCATAATATTCTGTTCATGAATTACTGAACTCACGGTTGTGATGGCAGTTACTGCTGCTCTGCCTGTCCCACTCCTACTGTACCTCTCTCTTCCAGGCTGGGACTCACCTTCAGTTAGATCCCAGGCACCCAGCATGGTACCTGACAAGCAGCAGGTGCTCAGATTCAGTGTGTTGAGCAAATGGATTAGTAATGGAATGAGTATTTATGGTGCGTTATTCCCATATTTGGGTCTAAGTTTTATGCCTTTTTAAATCAGAGGGCAGGAGAATAGAATAAGCAACATGTTGTTATACTCAGACAGAGCATAGATACTAAATAGACCCTATTCATGAAATATTAAAATAAGGTCTGGATATGGTCAGCCTGGTACACAGAGCAAGTTTCAGGACAGCCAAGCATGCACAGAGAAACCCTATCTCTAAACACAAAACAAATAAACAAACAAACAGCATTTGCTTGTTTGTGGAGATTTGTTTAGGAGGGGTCATGTTTTGTGTTTGCATACTGGCCTTGAACTCCTGATCCTTCTGCCTCCATCCCCCAAATGCTAGGATTGTAAGTGCCGCATACCTTGCCTGGCCAAATGAAGAGTTTTCGCTTGTTTGTTTTTTGAGACAGGATTTTTCTCTGTGTAACAATCCTGGCTGTCCTAGAACTTGCTTTTGTAGGCCAGGCTGGCCTCAAATTCAGAGATCTGCCTCTGTCTCCTGAGTGCTAGGATTAAAGGCATGTACCAGCACTGCTGGGCCAAGTGAATATTTTTATACTCTCTCTTTTTTAAAAATTAAACATTTTTTATGCATGTGAGTGTTTTCCCAGAATGTATGTCTGTGTACTATATGAGTGCCTGATATTCGATGGATGCCATGGGACTGGAGTTACAGATGGTTGTATACTGCCATGTGGGATTAGGGAATTGAACTCAGGTTCTCTGGGAGAGCAGCCAGTGCTTTTAACCCCTGAGCCATCTCTCCAGCTTCAGTGGTCCTCTGCAAGATCAATGAGTATACTCTTGACCGTTAAGCCATCTCTGTTTGTTTTGTTTTGTTTTTTTGAGACAGGGTTTCTCAGTATTGCTTTGGAGCCTGTCCTGGAACTTGCTCTGTAAACCAGGCTGGCCTCAAACTCACAGAGATCTGCCTGCCTCTGCCTCCCGAGTGCTGGGATTAAAGGCCCAGCCCGGCAAAATAAAAAAAAAAAATTTTAA